TGGTGGTGGTGACGGTGGTGATGGTGGTGGTGGTAGTGGTGGTGATGGTGGTCGTGGTGGTGCTGATGGTGGCGGTAGTGATGGTGGTGTTGGTGGTAGTGGTGGTGGTGATGGTGGTGGTGGTGGTGGTGTTGGTGGTACTGGTGGTGGTGATGGTGGTGGTGTTGGTGGTACTGGTGGTGGTGATGGTGGTGATGGTGGTGGTGGTGGTGGTGGTAGTGGTTAGTTTGCTTCTCTGACTACTGCGAAACGTGAATGTCCCCTATGGCGCATGACTACTGTCGCTCTAACAACCATATAAAACTTTTCATAAAATAACTTTGTGAGCCGTATGCACAAAATACACATCTATCGTCATTATTTGGGGATCTGTCTCTAAGTTTACTGTTCAAGGATTTGGGTTATTGCCAAACTGTGGCAATTTGTGCCGATAAATCTTTCAGCAGAATATTCCACACGAATGCCACTTTAACCAAAAACTTTCATTTCTCATTTGGTATTCCACGTCGTTTTATTCTGTTGGGTCTTCCTAACATCCATTCGCTACACTGATCCATTGTGTCCCATGGCGTTGTTCATAACTGTTGTAACAGATGAAATAAAACTATGTTACTTTGTATTTTCTTTAGCTCTATCCGGGAATTTCCAAGTGCATGGTACGTTTCGTATTCGGTAATCACAATTTCAGCAAAACGTGACTTGTTATCGATTGATGCCACATGCTATCTATCACATGTAGGTTCAACTATTTCACGAAGGTCAGCCACGGAAACATCCGATGTATCTCGACACCATTTAGCTGTACAAAAATCCATACAATTCACCGCTATTTAGCTTGTTTTGAGAGTTTCGGTGGCGATAATAATAAGGTCAAACAGGTTGTTCGACATGATTCTGGTTAGCTTTTCAAGATACCATTCTTCCCGAAAGATGGAATTTATACCTATGCCACTTAGTATGCCCTAATTTTGCGCTGTATATTATATAAAGGTAAAACAGTTGAAAACTTTAGCAGAGAGTCGATGTTCTCGGAGCATACCCATCTTATTGTGGATTTTCTTTTTTCATTTCGCATGAGGCTCTTCGGAAGTGGAACGACTTTCAGATTACCACATTTAGCAATTGACTACTTTAATGCTTGTCAGTAGTCTACTTAGATGGTTTTTTGCTTTTTTTGTCCCTTTGTCGTAACACAAACACAATTCAATGCCTGTTTTGTTTTGCGCGCGTGTCTCGAAGTAGTCATTTTCCTTCCATAGATCCGTCGTTAATGAAAAGAACCCAGGTCACTGCGAATGTAGACCCTTGAGTTGAACAGCTCACATCGTTGGTGATACTAGGGGTATAAAAGTGGAAAAATTACTCTCGCAATCCGGTGGCATGAAATGGTGTGACTTTGGGGCTGTTCTCGTGTGCTCTGAAAACTCACTGAAATGTGGATGAATCGTTTGATGATCCTGTTTCACTCAAGCGAAAGTCCATCTTTTATGCTACAGTTTACAGGAGGGATGTGCCCATACGTGCCGAAAGACTGGATGTGTGATAAACAGGGGAGTTGTTCTAAACTGACTACTGAGAAGCGTTTTAGTAGACAGTTGTTGTAAACGATTATTTCCAGCGAAACAGCAGGGAGTGAAGAACAAGCTCGTTCCCAGAGATTCGTAGTCATGCCAATACATCTCAATATATATCAATTCCTACTTGGTAAGAGAAAATGAAATAAAATCACAGATTATTGAGAAACGATTTCATCGTGAGATCGGAAATCGGATTCGCCACGAGCACAGATTTGTTTGTCCACTGATCCGATCAGTGAGATTNCGGGGGGGGGGGGCGTTGGTTGCTCATAGTAGCTTCAGCACTTGCCCACAATGTTCTGGGACACACAGGGGGTATTGTGCAGACGAATGTCCACCGCTTCTGCTGTGACGAGCATCCAACAGCGAACCTGCGTCGATAATCGCCTCAGACACGTCCATAGTGCGATTTGTTTCATCTAGATATGAAACCACTGCACTGGTGAATAACTCAATCGTTCCAGTGTTCAGCCACGCACGGTGGTGTTTACGAATCCGTTCGGACAATCGCTTGACTGTGCGGTATATTTAAGTTGTTCCACAGGAGCAAGTAAATGAGTATATACAGAATGAGACACCAAAGTGGGGAACTTTGTTCTCAACCGTTCTATGCAATGTTTATTAAGTATTGTGGTCGCCAATTTGCCATAAGGGAAGACCAAATTTTGAACTTATTACGAGGAAGAAGGTACTAGTGCTGCAAATCAACAAGATAGTGCCGAGATGAGGTTTATTATTTCAAATAATGGTTAGGTTATCGTTAAATTGGCATGCATAGAACAAAATGTCTAATTTGGAACACGTTTTAATAATTCTCACAAGCCCACAGAATAATTACTGTGGATGTGCATTCTCTGCAGTTACGAGAATAAATCTTTTAATCCATTCACGAATATCATGAGTACGCAAAAACACTTCTTGATAAGTGCAAACTGCATATAAGTGCGAGTAGTACCTCACAACAATAGGAATTTTGTAAGTCTACAACATAGATGATAATGCATTCAAAATGGCCGAAAATCGCGCTGAAAAGAAAAACATTCTGAGGAAAGTAGACAGACATGCTCGAACGTATCAGTCAGTCATTGGATTACCTAATAAGATCTGAAGAGCGGTACCAATTACGCAATTGTTTCTGTACTCCGAAGAAGTTTTGTGATGAGATTCAGATCGTCTTTGTTGGTGATGGTATTCTACTAGTTGGATTTGGTGATCGCAGATGTTTCGTTGCCAGTCCTCAGTGTGACCGGGCTTATATAGTTCTGTTCGATGGTTTCGATTGGCTGTTTGCGTTCCTTCAGTCCTATTGGTCATTTGGAACTAAGTGCTGCACTTTAATTGGTTTGTTTAATGCTAAGTGACTACCCTTTTGTTCATCGGTCGATTGGTTCTCAGTGGACCAACTGCATCCTGAGCTAAAACCATTCCATATTATATTCAGATTGTTTGATTATTACGAATTATTCAAAGAGTCAAATTTATGGATAACGGTCGTATGTAACTCACAAGATATAATGTTGATTGATTTGAACCGACCATCTTTCATTCTTGACCTTCACGCATAATCCTCAGTTCATTCAGTCAACCATACACTCGAGAGCACTAGATTCGATTTTCGTTCTTATTGGAGCTCATCTGTAGTGCATATCAACCGTTCCATCCGGGCTCTTAATTCTGGATTCATTGTATGGAAGGCGTGTGTGTTACCACTGTGCTAACCAGCTTGTATTATGGCTAAAATGAACTGTCAATTACTGTTTCTTTAGTGATCATCAGTCAGCTCATTCATGATCCGAAGGTAACGAAGAGATTCAGTTCGTTATCTATCAACTCCAATCGAAATACTTCTACCAAATCAGGTCTTGTATGTGACCAGTTACCCCTCTAAACTGGCCTTCTCGAGAGGCTGTCTTCGACAGCATTTGCCAAGTAGGCTTCCTAATCTTTCCTCGATCAACTGGGAGAATGTAAATCCGAAATCCGGTGATAGCACTCTATTGGTGTTCCAATAACAGTTCCCCCAGTGAGCTTGTACGCTACTATATTTTTCAAACAATATGTAGTGGTAGTAGATTAAAATACATATAAATGTAACTCCGAGAATGTGTTTCAATATATACAGTACTGACCGATTGTGATGCAGTAAAATATTTTCTTTATGATCAAATAGAGTTTCATTATATCTATCACCTGCATTAATGTTTTAGGTGTGGAAAATAATTTATATCTTGTCTACTTCGATCTACGTAGTTTCTAGGCTGCATGAGTGTCAATTAAACGTACCTGACCTTAAGTGCCAAGATTAAGAGATCTCAACATAAACACTACAAACTTTGTCAATTGTGACAACGCAATATTTTCCAATGGAAATGATTCAAGAATTATCCTAAATTATTTCTATAAACCCTTGCCATCTCGGTTGTTTGTAATGGGGCATTATTTTATTTAATATATGATCCATTATGGCAACTTTATTAGATAACCAAATTAAATTCTTTCACAGCTCAGAAAAGTTGCATTAAGTAAGGTTTCGTAATAATAATAGGCTCTGTTTGATATCTACTCAATCCCGGGCTCAAAGCACACCAAAATCTGGAGAACCCTTCTGATGCATCAGAC